TTGATTACGCTACTAACTGTGGGCAAATAAAGAGATCAATAATAGCGAGGAAGCGTCTGACATTTTCAATTGTGTATGCAAATTGATATGTTTCGTTAAAACCTACATGATTTGACTGCACTTAAAGCCCCTCTTAAGTAAAGAGCCCCACAAATTTGGTTGCAAAATTTCATTTAAATTGTATTATAAAGTGAAAGAGGATGTCATTAAAAACACGTTTCTGCAATGATTTCAAAACAAATATGTTTGAAGTCGAATATTGATGCAAGAATACAAAATGCAGGTTTTCTGCTGCATACAACAGACAGCCCAAATTATGTATTCACTATCAATATTTGTCTCTCTCTCTCTCTCTTTTTTTTTTGGGGGGGGGGGAATCTTTGCAGGAGTGTATTTTAAATGACATCTTCTTTCACATTATGATACAAATTAGTTGAAATTTTGCCATCACATTTTTGGCGAATTTGGGGCTCCTAACACTTCAGAGGGGCTTTAATGTTCTGCGGGGAAAGAAATACATCAAAGTGTTCGTGGTGGGTTACGTTAATGACGGATCTTAAACAACCTGAACTAAAAGCGTACAACATGGCTAGAAAGCCTAGGTTGTAATTACGAAAATATATTTTATTCATAATTCTGGTTATTCTAGCTAGGTCAATAATGTGTAAAATGGCATCAGAATACGAGTCAGACGCCTGGGTACTGTTTTAAGAGTGGTTTCGGGGAGGCCGAGTACAAGGGGCGATTTTCAGACATTTGAGATTAAACATGAGGACATTTTCTCCCTTTCTTTTCGCATTTCACTTCCTCCCTAACTGCTAAGTTTGATGGTTCTTTCCCTTTTTTTGTCAGACCATCTAAATTTGTTACAACTCTATTTCTTTTATAAATGTAATGCTTCCTGGGAGAAATTTCTGGTTTCAAGCTTTTTTCTGACTTGTTTTTCAATTACAGATCGATCAATCGATCTTATTTACTGGGTGTAAGCCACAAATATGTTTAAACTCTATTTCTGTAGCATCTAATCTGTTGTCGTATTACGAGTCATGTTATGAAGAGGGATTTCTTTTTAATGTGTTCCCGTGATATAGCAACTGGAGTAATAATTATACTCCAAAATTAATCATTTTCATTTACATTTTACATTATGCTTAATTTGTATTGCTTAATTTTCTGCTCAATACCATATCCTCATATTTTTCTTTAAAATTTTCCTTTATTTTTCCTCCCATCGTTTCTGTTAATCTCAACAGAAACACATAAATTCAACTGTTATCTCTTCAGTCACTGCGTTACATATCGAACGTCAATTTAAGAAATTGTGAACATAACGACCCGAATTCACAAAGGAGGTTTGTCGACTAACCTAGTTTTATGTGCGTCGACAAACCTCCTTTGTGAATCTGGGCCAATTTGTTTCATCAAAAATAATACGCATCAATCACTGTATTACAACGCCCATATACCTATACATAAATGTGCCGTAACAGACGTGATATCCCCCGTAAGATTCATGAGGGAAAATAAACCTTTCTTCCACTATACTTTTCCCACTTAAGGGATCTAGATTGGCATAATAAGCTATACATTAATGGCGCTGTTCGATACTGCATGCTAAATTTAAAACAAAAAGTCTCTTGAGGTATTAAAGGGAAATTCAACCTTGATAGCAAACTAATCTAGACTTGAGGAAAGCAGAAAAATCAAAGAAGTAGACTGCTAAAAGTTCAAATGAAAGCGGTGAAAATGAGAAAGCTTTGATTTTTGTGAAAGTTATAATCACTATTATGTATGGGCTCCTTAAATTGGCGGAACAACTTTCCATTATTTTGTTGCAACACACAAAATGACTACATGTAATTTGTTCACAAATAAATATGAATCAGGATGGTCTCTCCTCTTTTGAAGACCTAAACTAATAATGATATCCATCATGTCATGATTAGTGTTTCCAAGGGAGTAGGCATTTAGGAGAAGAACACTAGTTATTGATATTTTTGTACACTAAAAAGAGAGAGTTATCCGCGACTACGTCACAATCTACTCACCAAACTGCCAATTTTGAGCTTCGCATAGACTTATAGGCCCGAATTCACAAAGGAGGTTTGTCGACAAACCTTGGTTTTCGTACGTCATATGACGCGTTTCGACGCGTTTTTACAAACCAGGTTTGTAACAAACGCGTAAAAACGCGTCATATGACGTACGAAAACCAAGGTTTGTCGACAAACCTCCTTTGTGAATTCGGGCCACTGTGTTCTCATATTTCAAACATTCACAATTTCTAATTATTATCCGACCGATTTATTTCAAATTTTTGCCTTTCTGTTTATCTTATGTTTCTGCCGTTCATACAAGTGAACTTAATACAATTAAAGCTTATCTGCCGTAGGTTACAGGAGGGATTAGACCGCTCTGCAAGGTCGCTGGACAGGTGGTTATCTCATCAACTCAGCTCTCAGTTAACATAAGAAAAAGAGGATCATGGGGGACCAATGGTCACCGATTAGGCATTGTTTGTTATATAGAGGGCGCAAGTAGCTACCAGTAGTGCAGTGGGCCTTTAAGGTTTGGATTGCCCTTTAAAATGATACAGCGCGAAGTGTCATCACGTTATGTGGAAGCGGCAATTAATGTCTCATCATGAAATGAACGAGATGGGGGTCATTGTACCAACATAGCTCAGCGTTTTTATTAATAAAATACCTGCGCCCTTTTCCATTTGTTGCTATGGTTACGTGATTGTTATTTTTTTCATGACACCGTCGAGCTTTCGAAGCTTGGAACTCTAGGCTTTAGAGTGCGAGGATTAATACCGTTTTCGACCAATGCTACATTTATTAAGGAAACGAGGGGCTGGAATTAAACCTATTAAAGCGCGATTTATATCCTTCAATGGTGCGAAATCCTACTGTACTTCATTGAAGTGCTGTTACGTTGTGGCGATTCAAAATTTAGGGACCCCACTGTTCAAGCTGACTTATTTTTGATCTGTTATTATTGTATATTGTTGTATGTTGGAAGCTTGTCGAATAAATATCAATCAATCAATCAATCATGTTAAAATCCATCTCCCACAAAAGATATTAAAAGTGATGCAAAATAAGACAATTTTAATTACCTCAAACCGATTACTGTGTAAAAGATGAATTTACTCCATCAATCATTTTGAACGAAAATGAAAAGATCAATATTGAAACCAAATGTGCATAGTGTACATACCACAATGCATCGATACAGGTTAGACATAAACCGTATGGTGCACGCATGTAGATATCAACCTTGACAGGGTAGCTGAATAATTCATGTTCAATATACAGAAGCATTCCTGCGTTATAAACCAAGAAGCCAACTAGAATCGTTCGCTCTAACTTTATGAATTTAGAATCCCTTAGAACATAAGCGAATATCAAATGAACCCATGGGTATCTATGTTCGATATAGTTTTCAGTCAGGTTGTCTGTTGACAAGCCTCCGGATGATTTGATGAAGCTGAGGATGGGGGGGCAGGGGAAATAGTTTGGAAAGCTTTAAGAGAGGGAGAGAGAGAGAGAGAGAGAGAGAGGGAGAGAAGGGACAGATTTAAAGGGAGGAATGGAAAGGAAAAAAAGAAACAGATGATAACATAATAAGGCAGATAAGAACAAAAAGATATAACAGAGAAGAAAGATTACTTTAAAATGAAATAAAGACAAAGGCCAGAGGAAAAAGCGAAAGTTCAATTTTTTGACCCAGTAATCATAAGAAGTTCGCAACCTCTGGTTCTGAAGTGCCCCCAAGGAGTAGACCCAATGCTAACCAAATGTATATTTTATTCATCAGTCATCACTCATCAACAGGCACATCTCTCTTTTGATAATTTGCATATTACAATGTATCTTATAAATGCTGGCTGTATTTGACTTTATGATGATCTTTTAATGAAAGTGTCATAATACCAGAAAAGACAACATCCCATAATAATTTTCTCGATAAACTTTGAGACTTAACGTCTCTCTATCATTCGCTTCCCTTCCCATATTGCCCCAGTCAGTCCTGGCCCCAGTAATATCACATGAAGTTCACACCCCCTGATTCTAAAGTGCCCCCAATGTGTAGGCCCCATTCCAAGCCAACGGATTATATCCGTTGGCTTAGAATGGAGGACTATTATGGTATTCATATTATGCTAATCACCAACTGCCACATTAGTGATTGCCCAATAGATATCAGCTGAAGCGAATTTCCCATCGAAGTTAAACCATATCAATTTCCATTCCGAGACATTGAACCTCTGTTTTTATTACAATCAGTGATGAATTTAACAGAGCACTTAAGGATGTGCACCACGTACCACCCTAGACACAATTATTTTCTCATTATTCAGACGAACTTTTCGACTTAGGAGGGGACAAGCGATACCTCTTTTTAGAATTTAGAACCCTTTTTGAGTTAACAATTTGCTTGCAACGTATTTTGACCCATACCAGCATCTTCCCTCTAGCAATATGTATCAATACCGTCTTTAATTATTAGCGACTTTCATTTTGGTAGCAATCTTAATGACGTAATTGTAATTGTTATTCTCACAGTGCAATAATTATAATACAATCAATACTATACGATATCCGTTGATTCGTTGGACGATATAGCCTACAAAATTAATGTTACATACAAGTCATGTACAAAGGCCGATTTACACTTATTAGGATTAAAATAACCATCCTTATAATAATCAAGAAAAGTTACACACAATTTTACCAAGCTGTTACACCAGCTGTCCTCAAGCAGGTTCATCCAGATACCGGCATCTCCAGTCGGGCCATGATCATCATGAACAGCTTCGTCAACGACATCTTCGAGCGAATTGCCGGCGAATCTTCCCGCCTCGCTCAGTACAACAAAAAGTCAACCATTAGCCCTCCCCTGTTCTCTATTTCTCCCCCCCCCCCTCGCGCTCTCTCTCTCTCTCTCTCTCTCTCTCTATCATTCTTTCCTACTTTCTTCTCTCTCTCTCTCTCTCTCTCTCTCATTTTCATTCTCTTTTACTCTTTTCCTCTATATCAGTCTCTCATACAGTCAGTGCTAAGGGAGCCATCGCCGTGGCAGATGCAGAACTTTGATAAACCCTCGCCTGAAATGAACGTTAGTCATTCCGTAGAGGGCGGGGTTTATAAGAGAGTTCAGGTACAGGGTTCCACTAATCGCTTCAAAAACCGACGAAGAAACAATATCAGGGTAGACAAGGAATATCAGAGAGAGAATGACGTAAGGCAACCAACAGATGGCAAATGCTGCTACGATGGCAAAGAGCATGATGGCAGCTTTGCGATGTCCTCTGATAGAGTCTTTGCCCGATTGCGGAGTGGTTTTGTTTCCATGTTCCGCCATTGTGCTTACGCGATTCTTTATAGAACTGCCTCCTAACACGGCACGAGATTCAACACGAGAAATGGTACTTGCAGAGCTTTGTTGAGGAGGGGGAACTTTAGAAGCCTCAAAATGGTTTCCCGTATTTTTACACAAAAAGATAGTTTCTTTCACTTGTAGATCAGGTTTTTCCTTTACCTGAGTACACATTTCTTCAATTTCGTGGCTTTCCTTCCCATTGCATAAACTAGCAGTCGAAGCCGATTCACCCTTTTCCTGTAACTCCATTACATGCAAATTTTTAACAGAGTATTCTGACGCCCGTCTTTGACCATTTGTACAGCAATCCTGTTTTCCCACTTGTGCTGGATCGGGCGATAAAGTTCTAGGTGGGGTGATGTTGGTGCACGTCTCGGTCATTCGCCAGGAAGTGTTCCTAACACCTCTAGATCTCTGGCGGATCTTCCAAAACAGGCCAAAGCTGATAGACAGCAAGAAAACGAAAGGAATCACGAACTCAAAGAAAATCATGATAAGCGACATTTGCGTGTGGTAGACGTATTCCAAGAGACACTCGGAATCGTAGTCCACGACTTCGTTTCCAGTGATGCCCGGCCAGGCAAATGCCAGGAAGAGGTAGATGCTGATGGTGGCCGCCCAGAGAACAAAGATAACCCACATCACGTGCTTACGCTGGACGACATTCTCCCGGCTGAAGTTTGTGACGAGGAATAGTCGAAAGGTAGTGACGGCCAGGATGAAGAGGCCAGGTATGTAGGTTACCATGTAGTTGAAGGCGCTCAAGATCTTGCAGGGGATCTCACCGAAGGGCCACCGACCTGCCGACATGATCGAAATGGTCAGAGGGAAGATGGAGAACCCCACCAAGAAGTCTGCGATGGACAAGTGAAGGATGAAAAGATGAGAGATGTTCTGCCAGACGCGACGTTCCGTCCAGTAAGTCACCATGACTACGGTGTTAGAGAACATGATGGTGATTCCCAGGAGCGAATAGGTGATCATCCCCAGGATGACTCCGACGTCGAGAGTGTTTGATCCATCTTCCGGTAAATAGGTGGAGTAAGTGATGGTACTCAGGTTTTCCATCATTCCAAAGTGTATGATCAATGTACGACCTATGACGATGAAGAAAGAAAAGTAGTTTGTTTAAATAGAACAAATATTCAGTCTCGTTTTAAATACCTTTGAATGACTACTTTAATTTGAAAAAAGTACCTCTAATTCAAGCCCTATAATATAGCAACAAAGTAGACGGTGAAACTTATCTGCCCACTAAACATTTATCTCTGTTTGAATAAATGCAGTTTTGCCTGTCAAGAATTCGTTATTATTCTAAACTTATTAGTACCCGATATGCTGGATCGCTACATATATTTGCCCGACAGCGGGGTAATAATAGTTTCCGAAGTGTCACAGCGTGACCGACATGACTTGTGCGCTATTGGGATAAACAAGACACGTAAATAAATCAACCAGTACATCTAAGAATATTATAAAATACAAGCATTTTTCAAACTACAACCATAAATTAGTTGAACTTACTATAATGATAATATTTAGTTGGAATACGAGATGTGAAAGAGTGCGAATATGGTAGAGGGAGATTTGAAAATAGTCATAAAATGAGAAACTTATAGAGGAAGAGAAAGTGAGATAAGGAAGGAGGAAAAAAGTGCGTGGAGCTAGAGGGAGAAAGAGAGAGAGAGAGAGAGAAATCAGAAACCGGTAAAAGCATGGAATGAGATCAATATGGGAAAAGAGAGAGAGAGAGAGGGAGAGGGAGAGGAAGAGAGGTAGAGAAAAGTGGGGAGAAATATTTATTATAGACTACACTTTGTATAATCTCCTACGTCATCAAAATTATTCTTACATGTGTGATGCATGATCATGCGATAATGCAAGAAAAGTCTTAAGGAGAGAGAATTTTTTTTATGACGCAATAAAAGAGAAGAAACTAATTTGTTATTCATTTGGTCAATGATGAGAAATTGAAATATTGTTAAACAGAATAGCAAATGAAGGGAAATGACCATAGGTGTAATTGGCAATCCCTAGCAGCAGGAGAGAACTCGAACCAAAAACAAAGAATCAAAGAAGCGGACAATATTCAATAAAGGTACTAATAAAAGTACTAAAATGTGTACAGGACATGAAAAAAGGTGTGGAGGAAGACCCGACATGCATTGCAGCGAGAATAATCCAATAGGACGCGTTAACATGGTCAAGTTCATTTGAAAGTTTGCGGACATTAAACACCGGGGGTGGTGTTCACCGAAAATATGAAAAACGAGAAAAAAATGAAAATTTGAATAAATCAGTTAATGGACTCACCAGTCCGATCGTAAAAGAGAAAATTACTGTCAATAAAAATCAAGTGCACGGTATATTTAAAGTGACATATACATGCTCCTCAAGAGGTAGTTGTACTTTATATTGTCTCTATTTATTTAATCAGTGTTATTTTAGGCCTATCTATTCTGAGAGTACAAAATATGCACTGTAGTTTCCTATTTTGAAAATTAATTAAATTATCTTGTTTTGATAAGAGGAAATGAAGAAGTAAAGAGTGGTGTACAGTTAATTAGTTCTAATTCATAGTATTACATATAGGCCCTGTGGAAAACGTGATGATTTTATTTGGAATGATAATAGGTTAAGATAAAACAACGTTTCGAAGGTGTTGATATAAATTGTTGAAAGAAAGAGTAAGGCCTGTTTAATACATGGCAACGCATGTAGAGCGCCAAAAATGAATAATAATATTCATGTTAATAATGAATAAATCAATAAATAAAATTATATGTATATATATATATATATATATATATATATATATATATATATATATATATTATATGAATAATTAATTAGTGGGTAAACTAAATAAATGTAAAAATAAGCTACACCAACTATGCAATGACACTAATATTAATAATAATAACAATTATACTGATGATAATAATTTTAATAACAACAAGTAATAATAATGATAATTATAATGAAAAAGAAAAGTCTTCATAGTGTAATTCTTAGAGCATAATTTTGTTTTGTTTAAATAAATAAACTATATAGTTTGAAGATTAAAGTTTTGAAGTTTTATTTATTCCATATTTTACATAAAAACAGTTTATATATATATATAAACATATATATATATATATATATATATATATATATATATATATATATTTATTTATATATTGTATACAGGCGTATATTATATATTGCACTTGGTACGTTCACATTTAAGTATATTTCCAATGTAAATTTGCTTTTTTGACCCCGACATTTTGCACAATAGATTCAACAAATCTAATTAATAAACACTAGGAATAGTATGCACTACGGAGCTATATATTTGAAACATATAGGTTCAATACCACAATATCCATATGATTGTTATTTTCATTTTATCGTTTCTATGTCATTCTTGATAATTGCAATTCATTACTCTTTCGACTACCCGCCAACCAAATTAACCGATTGCAAAAAGTTCAGAATTCTGCTGCTCGACTTGTAACTAACACCAGAATATCATCACATATCACTCCTATCTTGAAATCTCTGCACTGGCTCCCTGTGCAACAGCGTGTGATCTATAAAATTCTACTCTTAACCTATCGTGCACTAAATGATCTAGCTCCAGAATATATTTCATCCCTTCTATCACCCCACTCTGCAGGTCGTTCTGGTTTACGTTCATCACATAATATTCGACTTAAAGAAATACGTACCAAAAGAAATGGGTCAATGTCGCTATTCATAAGGACCGCTATTCATAAGGTCCGCTATTCATAAGGTCCATTATTCATAAGGACCGCTATTCATAAGGTCCGCTTTTCATAATTGGAGAAAAGGGTCATTATTCATAAGAGTCATTATTCATAAGGACCGCTATTCATAATCAAAGAAGAGGGTCGGTATTCATAATATTAGAAGAGGGTCGCTATTCATAATAGGAAAACGGGGTCGTTATTCATAAGGGTCCCTATTCATAATATTACAAAAGGGTCGGTATTCATAACACAGAAAGAGGGTCGCTATTCATAATACGAAATGAGGGTCGCTATTCATAATACAAAATGAGGGTCGCTATTCATAATGCAAAATGAGGGTCGTTATTCATAAGGGTTATTATTTATAAGGGTCATTATTCATAATAAGAAATGAGGGTCGCTATTCATAAAAGGAGAAGAGGGTCGCTATTCATAATAGGAGAAGAGGGTCGCTATTCATAATAGGAGAAGAGGGTCGCTATTCATAATAAGAAATGAGGGTCGCTATTCATAATAGAAGAAGGGGGTCGCTATTCATAATAGAAGAAGAGGGTCGCTATTCATAATACGAGTAGAGGGTCGCTATTCATAATAAGAAATGAGGGTCGCTATTCATAATAGACGAAGAGGGTCGCTATTCATAATAGGAGTAGAGGGTCGCTATTCATAAAGAGAAATGAGGGTCGCTATTCATAATAGGAGAAGAGGATCGCTATTCATAATAGAAGAAGAGGGTCGCTATTCATAATAGGAGCAGAGGGTCGCTATTCATAATAAGAAATGAGGGTCGCTATTCATAATATGAGAAGAGGGTCGCTTTTCATAAAAGGAGAAGAGGGTCGCTATTCATAATAGAAGAAGAGGGTCGCTATTCATAATAGGAGTAGAGGGTCGCTATTCATCATAAGAAATGAGGGTCGCTATTCATAATAGGAGAAGAGGGTCGCTATTCATAATAGAAGAAGAGGGTCGCTATTCGTAATAGGAGAATAGGGTCGCTATTCATAAAAGGAGAAGAGGGTCGCTATTAATAATAGAAGAAGAGGGTCGCTATTCATAATAGGAGTAGAGGGTCGCTATTCATAATAAGAAATGAGGGTCGCTATTCATAATAGAAGAAGAGGGTCGCTATTCATAATAGGAGAAGAGGGTCGCTATTCATAATAGGAGAAGAGGGTCGCTATTCATAATAGAAGAAGAGGGTCACTATTCATAATAGGAGAAGAGGGTCGCTATTCATAATAGGAGAAGAGGGTCGCTATTCATAATAGGAGTAGGGGGTCGCTATTCATATCATATATTCATTTCTCTTCAAATCCTCTTCTTTCTCTAATAATTTAATGAAACATCAAAGCTTCCACGTTTTGCGCGGGAGGGGGGAAACTGAATTCAGACAAGGATTAAGAGTCGAGAATGGAACAACGAATCATCTTCTTTCTCTAATAATTGCATTAAACAATGAAAGGTCAAAGCTTACGCGCTTTGCGCAAGAGGGGGGAATAGAATTCAGACAATTATTAAGAATCGAGAACGGTACAACAAATCGTAATTTTCTCTAATAATTAATGAAAGGTAAAAGCGAGGGGGAAAACTGAATTCAGACAAGGATTAAGAGTCGAGAATGGTACAATAAATCGTCTTCTTTTTCTAATAATTAATGAAAGTTCAAAGCTTTCGCGCGTAATGGGTGGGGGAGGGGAGGGGGGGGGGGGGACAGCAAGCTGCCCGAATATGAATTTTTGATATCTTTTCTCGTTTATCTTGGTGATAAATAACACTTTCACAAAAAACATATAATGCTCAAATTTTTGCTCGCTCGTTTCGCTCACAAGCAGAATTGTGAACTAGAAAATAATCGGGCAAGAGGCTTTAGCCCCCCCCCCCAGATGAAAATGTCAAAAAAATGTATATCTTAAAAACGGGGAATGTTGATATCGGACAAGAGACGTGAAGTGAGCTTGCACCCCTTTCCAAAATTGTTCCTGCTTCTAGGTACCCGTATCGTGCTTCTAATATGACCTTGTCAGTATTGAAGTTGAAAAAACGGTCTGCGCATTTTTCAAATTTCCGTCCCCCCCCCCCAATTGGAAAATTCTGGATCCGCGCCGGGGCGTACTGATGGGGGGGGGGGGGGCTCGGGGGATCGGTAGATACTGGGCTTAGGTCCAATTGTCAGGTCCAATTCCGCTCAGTAATTTGTAGGTCCATAAGTCCTAATAAAAATTACTTTCTACAAAAACATTATTGTCGTATAAACAATTACTAGTTTCTTAAATAGCAAGCTAAAATGGATAATGGGCCTGCTTGGCGTACTTAATATCTCAGTGGCGTAGCCTGGATAAGATCATTCGGGGGCAGGGTGATGGGGCAAGAATTCCAACAAGGAGGAAAATTTACGATAGGATTACATGTGTGTTATGTTTTACTTTTTTTTCGTCACCACATGAGCGGGGGTTGGCTTTATATAATTATCAAAGATAACAGATAAAATTTAGTTACTTTAAAAAGAGACAACTATTCAGGGCTATATATCGCCCCCCCCCTACAGGACCAGGAACGTAGCCGAGGGGGGGGGGGGGCCGTATTATGAATAGCGAACCTCATTTCGTATCATGAATAGCGACCGTCTACTCCTATTATGAATAGCGACCCTCATTTCTTATTATGAATAGCGACCCTCATTTCGTATTATGAATGGCAACCCTCATTTCATATTATGAATAGCGACCCTTATTTCTTATTATGAATAGCGACCCTCTACTCCTATTATGAATAGCGACCCTCTTCTTCTATTATGAATAGCGACCCCCTTCTTCTATTATGAATAGCGACCCTCATTTCTTATTATGAATAGCGACCCTCTTCTCCTATTATGAATAGCGACCCTCTTCTTCTATTATGAATAGCGACCCTCATTTCTTATTATGAATAGCGACCCTCTACTCCTATTATGAATAGCGACCCTCTTCTTCTATTATGAATAGCGACCCTCTTCTCCTTTTATGAATAGCGACCCTATTCTCCTATTACGAATAGCGACCCTCTTCTTCTATTATGAATAGCGACCCTCTTCTCCTATTATGAATAGCGACCCTCATTTCTTATTATGAATAGCGACCCTCTACTCCTATTATGAATAGCGACCCTCTTCTTCTATTATGAATAGCGACCCTCTTCTCCTTTTATGAATAGCGACCCTCTTCTCCTATTATGAATAGCGACCCTCATTTCTTATTATGAATAGCGACCCTCTACTCCTATTATGAATAGCGACCCTCTTCTTCTATTATGAATAGCGACCCTCTTCTCCTTTTATGAATAGCGACCCTATTCTCCTATTACGAATAGCGACCCTCTTCTTCTATTATGAATAGCGACCCTCTTCTCCTATTATGAATAGCGACCCTCATTTCTTATTATGAATAGCGACCCTCTACTCCTATTATGAATAGCGACCCTCTTCTTCTATTATGAATAGCGACCCCCTTCTTCTATTATGAATAGCGACCCTCATTTCTTATTATGAATAGCGACCCTCTTCTCCTTTTATGAATAGCGACCCTATTCTCCTATTACGAATAGCGACCCTCTTCTTCTATTATGAATAGCGACCCTCTACTCCTATTATGAATAGCGACCCTCTTCTTCTATTATGAATAGCGACCCTCATTTCTTATTATGAATAGCGACCCTCTACTCCTATTATGAATAGCGACCCTCTTCTTCTATTATGAATAGCGACCCCCTTCTTCTATTATGAATAGCGACCCTCATTTCTTATTATGAATAGCGACCCTCTTCTCCTATTATGAATAGCGACCCTCTTCTCCTATTATGAATAGCGACCCTCTTCTCCTTTTATGAATAGCGACCCTCATTTCCTATTATGAATAGCGACCCTCTTCTCCTATTATGAATAGCGACCCTCATTTCCTATTATGAATAGCGACCCTCTTCTCCTATTATGAATAGCGACCCTCTTCTCCTATTATGAATAGCGACCCTCATTTCCTATTATGAATAGCGACCCTCTTCCCGTGTTATGAATAGCGACCCTCTTCTTCTATTATGAATAGCGACCCCCTTCTTCTATTATGAATAGCGACCCTCATTTCTTATTATGAATAGCGACCCTCTTCTCCTTTTATGAATAGCGACCCTATTCTCCTATTACGAATAGCGACCCTCTTCTTCTATTATGAATAGCGACCCTCTACTCCTATTATGAATAGCGACCCTCTTCTTCTATTATGAATAGCGACCCTCATTTCTTATTATGAATAGCGACCCTCTACTCCTATTATGAATAGCGACCCTCTTCTTCTATTATGAATAGCGACCCCCTTCTTCTATTATGAATAGCGACCCTCATTTCTTATTATGAATAGCGACCCTCTTCTCCTATTATGAATAGCGACCCTCTTCTCCTATTATGAATAGCGACCCTCTTCTCCTTTTATGAATAGCGACCCTCATTTCCTATTATGAATAGCGACCCTCTTCTCCTATTATGAATAGCGACCCTCATTTCCTATTATGAATAGCGACCCTCTTCTCCTATTATGAATAGCGACCCTCTTCTCCTATTATGAATAGCGACCCTCATTTCCTATTATGAATAGCGACCCTCTTCCCGTGTTATGAATAGCGACCCTTATAAGTAATGAACCTTATTTCGTATTATGAATAGCGACCCTCTCGTCGTATTATGAATAGCGACCCTGATTTCATATTATGAATAGCGGTCCTTATGATTAATGACCCTTAATGTGAATTATGAATAGCGACCCTCATCTCACGTTATGAATAGCGGTCCTTATGATTAACGAACCTTATTTCATTATGAATAGTGACCCTCTTTTGCCATTATGAATAGCGGACCCGGAAGTACGGGAATTTACACGTTATGAATAGCGGTCCTTATGAATAGCGGACCTTATGAATAGCGGTCCTTATGAATAGCGAATAGACCCCAAAGAAATTGGGGAGGATAGAGCATTTGCATCAGCAGCTCCTTCTTTGTGGAATAAGTTACCTTTCTCTATTCAGATGGCCAAAACTCTCTCTACTTTCAAAACTGGGCTTAAAACTCACCTGATGCTCAATGCATATTGTTAAATTTCAATGTTCTTTTTATACAGTGCATGCAAAACAAGCAATCGCACTGTGCCACATTGTATGTACCTTGGCACCATGAAGTTGTATGATCTAATGCAAGTTAACATTTAATATTTTTTTAATCTTAAGTATGTTGAATATTAATTTAAATTATTTGTATGCGCCTTGAGCATCTCTAGAGATGGATATGTTGCGCTTTATAAATATTGTTATTATTATTATTATTATTCAAATTCTACACTGATTATTTGTAATGTTTATATCTGCTCTAAAATTATCAACTTCCCAAATACTGCACTATCGTCCACATCGAATTAAAATTCGATTAAATGATTACAGGTAATGCACTCTCAGTGTTAAAAGCATGGAACGATATGTTTTGCAATATATATATTTACATAGACATGATATAATTCTTAGCATGTAGAATAGTTTTTTTTTAATGACTTTCCTTTCAACTGCTTGCATTGGCGTCTACATCGGATAATAATCAAGATAATGCACTTTTAGTTGTAAAAGCGTGCAACGATAAATTTTGCACTATGCAACAGTATAGATTTAATTAATGATATAATTATCAGAAGATAATGTAGGGAATCCAAATTTACACCTTCCTGCCAACCGCTTGCATTAGCGTCTACAGCGAAATAATGATTAAATGTGATGCACTTTTAATTTTAAAAGCACACAACGAAAAATAGTCTAGTCTGCAACAGTATATAAATTATGTAGGCTTATATATACAAATGTATTTAATGATATCATTGTTAGCGAATATAATGTAGAAAATCAAAATTTCTCACCTTCCTTTCAAATGCTTGCCTTGTGCTTGGAAAAGCTTTTCTCCTGGAATTGAATGCTCCTTGCGTCCTCTTCCCCCGCAGCGATACCTAATCAAAATACAATTAAATTGATTAAGTAATCAGTTCGTAATAATTAAGTACTATGGCAAGGGCAGGCCTTTGTGCTCGTACCATCACGGGGAATTGTTTCCCCAGCACACTAATATGTAATTGGTTTTGTTTCCAAAAAGGCATTGTATTTGGAACCGCGTTCATTTTTCTTAGAACGAAATACCTGGCTTAGAATCAATTTTTCAATTTTATTCAATTACGTCTGTTATCTAAATAGAAGTGCAAATGTGATTATGAACTCTTGAAACTTCGATAATTTGAGTTTCATTTTATTAGAAATGGCAGTTTCTTTAATAATCTTTTTTGAAAGATTTGAGATTTTTTGTTCATACATTAATAATAACATAAGGTTCATTAAAGGTGCTATGTCCCATTTGCAGGCCAACACAATGAAAAAGTTAAATTCCAATGGCATTTGAAAAATAATACTAATTTAGAACTCTCCTTAAAAAAAGGGGGCTTGAAAATATCTTTAAGTGGGAAAATAACGACTATTAGTTGTCAAATCGACTTAGGAGCTATAGGGCCAATAAGTAATGGTCTTGATTTTCAGACCATTGTACAGCATGGTCGTACGTTTTATGCTGCACAAAGATTCAATCAGTTTAATTTTGGCCATTACAAGAAGTGGGTTATTGACGTAGACAAATCCTTTACAGCTCATTTTATGTATATTATTACCAAAGAAGAAAAAAAGCCAGTCAGTTACTCAATACTTACAATATAGTGTCTGACAGTGAAGTCTAGCAAGTAAACGGGTTTCCTTGCATAATTTGAATATTAGGACAATGTTAACGTTTAAATTTCACAGATAGGACATACATGACATATTCATAATTCCTGCAAAGTTCTACAGAATTTGAGGTTGGCTGCAAAAGGGACATAGTATCTTTAAGATGTAATGCTTTAAATGAAACTACATCATGAATTACGTTAAATTTCATTTTATAAAAATGAAACAGCCAAGCACATCAAAAATTCACCTTCCACGAAGCGTCAAGTCGAAAAGGTTACTGTGTGGTTTTCCGAAGTGTAAGGAATCAACATGAGGACACCATATCTACTCTTCCGAATCCCTCTCTTAAAGGTAATACAAAGTTTTGGTATGGGGTCATGAATTTGGTTCAAATGAACATATTGGAAGCATATGCAATCCTACAATATTCAGTGATCGTTGTCGCGGTTGAAATCGAGTCTTAAGTTATGAAATTGTAAATAATAAACTCTTTATGTTGTACAGCTCCCTATAAAGGTCAAGATATTAATTAACCTATAAAACAATGTTTCTTGATTAAAATCGACTGATTAGCTATTCCCGTTTGAAAATTATATATCACATCTACCTATTCTGAGATTTTCATGGTCACAGCTATCATTGTATGGCCGCAGGCGCCATTTCAAATTTATCAAAATTTACCGGGAGCACCGGTAAATTGTTATATTAACTTTTCTCGAAAGCAGAAGTGTTTTAGGGGCTAAATTTTCTAATGCTTATAATACATCCACAGGAGCATCCAAATATATCGAAATTGTAAAGAATCACTATCCACCCAATTTTCAAAATTTCCCAAAACTTTGTATTACCTTTAAGTTACACACATGCACACACATTATTCTGCATGGCGCATAATGGCGCACATAAACACACACACACACACACACACATACACACCCGCATTTCCGCCCTCACCCTCGCGCACGACCCGAACAAAGCACTTGCACCTGTAAGGAGTGGGTGCTCTATGAAAGTTTATATTTTTATCATAATCATCCGTTCCTATGCCTTAGTTAAACTATTCCCCGTTATTCCTCTCTCCTCGTTAGAGAATTGCGCGTTACTTTATATTTATGGGGACTTCATGCTTTCATTGATCAAATTAAGAGTCTCGGGTGAAAACGGGAGCACAAGGGCAATTCAAGATGTATTTTATTCAATACTCGCAACCTTTACGGTTGTATTGTTACTGAATTCACATGTTTAAAAACTATAGATGGAACAAAAAGAGAACCAATTATAAAACAAAAACGTACACGAATTTAAAATTTGAAATGACAATAGAACTTAATCTAAAAATGGGAAACCATGGGAATTCCTTTAAAAGAGAAACCAGTTGAAAGTAATTTAGAAAATATAAAATCCTATCTAGAAAACATATATACAAATTACATACAAGGGAACAAAAACAGATCCAAGCCAAATACAAGGACAAAAAAAATAAATGTGTACAGAAATTGCATATTTAAAATGACAATAAAAATTAATCTAGAAAAGGGAAGCCTTGGGAATTTCAATGAAATAGAAACCAGCTGATAGTAATTTAGAAAAATATAAAATAAATGTATTAGGATATTTTTTATATGAATTCTAATTCAATCATGACTACTAAAATATTCACCGGTGAAATATTTTCATCGTTTAATATGTATATATACATGAGTTGCGTAACGAAAATAAATACTCTGTTTCATATTAATGGTAACTGAATCGCATGAAATTTTTGCGAAGAGATGAATTAAATTGGCATCGATTAATAATAGCTTCTCATTAGTTATACATCTACATTGTCAGGTGATGTCATTGCTAGATGGAATTTCATTTTTTCGTTGAATAAAAAATGTGTCACAGGCGATGGAAACTGCAGCCGCTAATAACTTTTAAAATTTGCAATATTTAGGCAGCCGTTACTTCATATTCTGGCAGCCATGTGGCCTATTTTCATTTTTTTTAAATCTCTTATCATTTTGCTTTCCATAACAAAATTGCGTTTGCAACTTTTAATGAAGCGTCAAAATTTGCTTCCTCAATTCGCTTTTAGAAAAATAATGATATTTATATGTATTTAATTCAAGTTGCAATACATTTTTCTTTCGAATCTCAAAATTACGGTTAATAAAATGATCGCATGATAGCATTGTAGAGATTTTTTGAAGGTCAATGTACTTACGAAATGTAATCCTCCTATAAATCTCCCACGTGAAATTGCCTGTCAAATATGGTGCATTTCTGCTCATCGGCATCTGAATACTTTTTTTAATGTCGCTTGAGCTTCTTCTACTTACAGTCCTTCGTGGTTCCACTACTTTTTTTTTCACAACCGCATTCTTAAAGGTTTTATAAGTATGACATATTCCCAAAGAGTGTTCTTTTTCTTGCGGTAGTGATAATATATTGATGAGTGTGTTTATCAGTATATCTTCCATGACATGTGAGCCTCTTTATAACCATTAGCAGTGATCCTCTCTCTGTTATGATTACCATAAGATTTTGAAGGTGCATAGATTACCGCAGTAAAAAGAGTGGTTTGCAGACACAAAACCCTTGTCAGTCGTTCTGTCGTGACATATGAAAATGAACTTTCTGGAAATGTGATTTTCTCTTTGAAATTCAGATACAGTTCACCAAATGACTTTCTGGTACCTTTTCCTCAAATGTGTCATTTATTCATTATAACTGTGATTAAGTTATCATGATAAAACATCGATAATTCTCGGTGTCGGTTTTTTTTCTGGGACGCACTGCATATATTTTAAAACGAAAATAAATAATTGAACAAACATAAAATATTTAAAGAAAAAACATTCCGATTTCCGGCTAAAAGCCTTCGACAAGTAATGTGACAAACTATATCGAAAACAAGCGTTCTTCACAACTTAAGAAAGGCGCAGTTGTTGATATGCACGCAAAATTCAGAAATGAAGAGGGAAGTCTGCCCGACAAAAATATCAATTAAATATATGTATGCGTGTGGGTATGTGGGGGGGGGGGGGTTGGTTCTAACTGCATCTTCTTCATCAGCGAGGCAAAATGTTTCAGTACAAGATCAAACACTATAAGTCCTGTATTTCACATCTTAATTATTAAAATCTCCTGGGTATTAACCCTGATAAGACAAAAAGAAAGAAGTAGGATTACTTTGCACGTTTCTTCCTAATAATGAATCTGTGTCCTCGATTTTTTTTAAATAATTTGTATTATCTGTGTCCTCGATTCTACGACATCCACTCTCTAATCTATCCTCCACCGCTAATATTCTACTTAGATGAGGAAAATGGGTACCTGGTGGGATTATTCCTTGAAATTCCATGTGCCTTGATAACGGGTTGTGGGTGTGGCATTTTCACAGCTCTGAGGAAGAGCATATACTATGGACGGTATTTCAGGAAGTAAAATACGCTAAAGAAAAACCGAATATTCTGATCATAATTGTTATTATTATTCGTAGCAGTACTACTAGTAATAGTATCATTAAAAATGATTTGTTATCATCAAAATTGACAGTAGTAGTAACAGTAGTAGTAGTAGTAGTACTTGGATCATCATATTACCATCACTATTATCATCATCATCATCATCATGCATCATCATCTTCATTACAATCATTGTTAATATTCGGTAACATAGTAAGCTTAGAGAAAATGAACCTGATACATTCCTTCTCGTGTAAGTGTTTGCTTTAATTTTATTTTATTTCATTATCATCCCTTTCCTTTTCTTTCCCTTTGTCTCTATTTCTCTCATTTCCCTTAATTCCTTAATTATCGACATATTTCTGACAGAGAGTTCCACTTGGTGTTACCGAAAGCCTTCATTCACTTACCATGGCCACCGTTAAAACATACATAGAATATTTGATATCCACACGATTTCAAACAGAATGAAGCATGACCTTTCCCCCAATGTTGTTCGCTGTCGAGTTTAAACCTAGGAAATCCGTAATTAAGTTACGGTTAATGCATCTTCATTCCAGCAGTATTCCTGGTAACGATGTCCCAAACCCCATGTTTTCTACAAAGAAAAGAGAAGGGGGAGTTTTTCGTAAGGAAGAAACAAATTGGGAGCTTTCTACTTCTCTGTTTGTCAGTCGGGAAAAATATTATGGTAATAATATCCCCTGAAATGGGTTTGCTCTTTGAATGCCGTCAAATTTGAAATTATGACGAGAAATCATTAAAAACTGTGGATGAAAATT